GATGTAGGGTCATATGAGGTTTTTTTTTTGTTTAGACAAAGATTGAGTAGTTTCCAATAAATTTATTGTTTTTGTTTCAATTTTTTCTATTTTTCAAATATAGTTTAGTAAATAGTTTCATTGATATAAATAATACTCATATTATCACTATAAATATATTATTTGATAATATCGTAAACAAAAGATTTTTCTATTTACTATGTAATAAATATACCACATTTTCAAGCAAACTCCGCATCTTAAAAACTCTTTATTAAAAAATGACAAATTTAAGAATTTAGATATTAATAGATGTTTGTATAATTTGCAGTTATTTATTTTATGTGATCTATTTTTTAGTTGAATGAAAATAAAATTTTTCAATAAATTTTAATCTATTAATAATAAAATTTAATAATGTGCAATGATCTTATGTCCAAATACAATTTTCAAATTTGAGTGCATGTTAAATTACCTTTCATATACTCTTACCGTTTCTCATTATGTTGGTCTTTTTCATAATATGAATGTAGACCAAAATTAGTTTTGATATCTGATTTGAGATTTTTGACACACAATTTTGTTTACAGTTTTTAAATATTGATATGAGTTTAAAAAATGGGCTTTGGATCAATTTAAAAAATGATTAAACAAATCCGAATAACATAGTTTTCCCATTATCATCTATCTACACTAAATTTTATAATTTTGGCATTAAACTAACAAATATTTCTAAAGATAATAAAATTTATTACTCATAATTATCATCATCTTAATTTGATTTGTGTGTATATTTATTTATGCATATAACTAAAAAATACATAGCAAGTTGCATACTGGCTCATCTAAAAAGATCAGCTTTAGATCAATAATTGTTACTACAAAACTAAATCGACTTTTTATTCCACCACTATAAGATCAATAAAGGTGGATTCAACTTTCTTTATCCTCTCAGCAAAAATCTGGGAGATGCACGGCCGCTTTCTCCATTTTAAAAGTATTAGATGAATTCAGCTTTCTCTATCCTCTCAACAATATTCTGGGAGAGAGACAAACGTTTTTTCCATTTTTCTATATCTTTAGTTTCTCATACTTTTAATTTAAAGATATACTATTTGATATGTTCTGCCCATTTTTAGAACAATAGATTTTTTTTATAAACAATTTTTTGCCTAATTGGATTAATTTTTAGTTAACAAAAAAAGAACTTCATTATCCAAACTTTTGTTGTTCATGTCAGTTTTACATTTGCTGGTAACTTCTCAGAACAGAAAAAACAAATTTATAAGCAAAACAAAATATACAATTTTTTAATAGTTATTTGGTTTAATATAATTAAAATATGTTTGCGCTAACCCGTCTAATATTTTTTTAAAGTATATGTATATCTCTAAAAAAAGTTCTACAATAGCTTATGCTTTCTTTGATTCTTGTATAATATTCCACACATGCTTCTAGTGATAGGATCCATGTATGTTGTCTACAATCCATGTACTAAAACACCATCTTAATGTCATTTGTACGAATATTTCTGAACACAACAATTTGCATACCGTGTCATTTTAAAAAATCAGCTTGAGATCACTATCGAGTGTTACAGCAACATTGAGTATCAACTTGTATAAAACTTGGATTCCTATTCTTGTCTGTATCGCTTTAGATTATAATTTTTTTTTAATACACGATTTAGATTATAATTAAACTGTTCAATTTGTTAAATTCTAATATATATTTAAATGCATTGTAAGAATCTTGTTAGAGGTTTTGTAATTAACTCACGTTGCAATGTTTTACTGATTTTACATAATGTTTTTATCGTTTTTCTATAGCATTCATTCTTTAAGAGTTAGAGAACCATATTGATCTCTTTGCTCCTCTTTAAAAGACAAAATTTGAAAATAATTTTTTTTATATATATGTTTTAGGCTGGTGTAAATGGTAATGGATTAATCGCTACATCAATATTATCTCAGCATTGATGCATACATTTACATCATTATTATCTCAACATAAATGCATACAATGACATTAAATCAAATGAACACTTATTCAAAGTCATCTATTATTTTACAAAGACAACAACAAATAAGTTTGGTCCATAGAAGAGTGGCGAAAACATATACTTAGAGCTTTCTTAAGCTATCAATGTGGATTTAGTCAACACATTTTATCACAATGGATGAGTTAGATTTAGTAGTAAAAGAATATGATGGAAATTAAGCTAACATCAAAATGTTATCATTTTATTTATAATTTAAATATACTTAATTTCATAAAAAAATATATTTCATCTGTTAACAATATATATATATATAAATCTTTACCTAGCTAATTAAAATAATTTTATATTTCATTATAAAATTTGAAATTCATTTTATACCACGAGTATCGCGGGCGAGTCATCTAGTAAATATATACATGACTCGCGTAAATATATACATGAAATTTACGTTCATTTTGAGAAAATGGTCTCTTTAATTAGCAGCCATCAAAGACTCAAAGTGCACTGTGATTTTTCTATTAGACTCGCGTAAAAATAAGTAGTCCTAAGAACTACGTGATTAAGCCATCTTTCCTTTTGGAAATCATCATTTTCTTAAAGTTCTAAGGTTAAGTGTTCTTTGATTTTTTTGTTTGTGTTTGTTTCTTGTATTTTCTAGGAGTCCAAGTGATAAATTGACGAGAATAATAACATGAAAATGTTTTTAAAATTAGAATAGACTTTCTAAGAATAAAGTTACAAATTACATTGGTTTATATAGTGAATAAACTAGATCTAATTTTCTAAATCAAGATAATTGATTTGTATTGGCTATAACATTCGGCCGTAGGATCAAACCGACGTTTATATCCGATCATAGGGTCAAATCGGCTGCAACACCTGGCCGTTGTCTTCGTGGCGTCTATACCGTGCCGTAAATTCATTAATAGAAGATATATCATCATCGTAGTAGGATATCTATATCATCTCTATCGCCTGATCAACATCGTATTTGTCAAAATCATCGCCATAATCATTCTAATAACAGTATTCGGTATCGGAAAGATTGTATGAGAAGACCACTATCAGCATCGTCATGGTGAAACTCACGCTTAAATAAAATTAAAACACGGTTTCGTGTTCACCAATCACCCCTACATCATCATCGCATCTCCAAGGTACTTCTTCTCTAAGGAATTTTAAAGTGTAGTAGTCAATACGAAATCAATTGTAGCAAATTATTGACTGAACCAACAACGTAACAAAGATGATCACATCTTTTCTTTTTAAAAGATCAAAATTCAATTTTAAACAAAGCGAAGCAAATTTAACTTGTAATAACATTAAGAATATTCCAACAAAAAGAAATAGAGAAATAGAGAGAGAAGATGAAATCGATAGAAAATCAGAAATTTTTTTTTTTTTTAACTCGGATCGAAAGCTCTGATACCACGATAAATTGATAAGAGGAATAACATAAAAGTGTTTAGAAAAAAGTTAGAATATACTTTCATGAGAACAAAGTTAAAAGTTACATTGATTTATATATAAAATAAACTAGACCTAATTTCTTAAATCAAGATATATGTAAATGTAAATAATTTATTTAAGATAAAACTAAAATTCCTAAAATATTGACAAATATCAACAATCTTCTAGTTTTTCTTTCTCTTCTTCATCATTACCATAATCTCGACTGTTGATCTCGGTCAAATCTCGTCAATTTCCAAATATTGACAAGTGTTGCGTGACTTTGTTTTGAACAAGGAGTTGATTGATTGAACAAGTCTGTTGCTAGTGTAACTTTGTGTTGAACACGGAATTGATTGGTTTGCGAAGCATAATCCTATTTCTTCTAATGGGTTAGAGGACAATAGAATTGGTTTCGTTGGGTTAAGGAGCCATAGTAGAAAAATCGGATAATAGAGAAAGGAACTCATCGTAGAAGAAAAGGAAGCTCACAGC